TATTTTTTTTATGAATTAAATGAAAAAATTTATATGAAAATTATAGATCTCGACGAGATCTACAACTTTCTAGTTTTGAGTTTTTTCATTTGAAGTCATTAAGATGCTCAAAAAAAATTAATAACATATTTGAACTTAAGGGCATTTTCGTCTTTTTACACCTGCAGTTTGACGGCGTTAGAGCCCAAACTGACGGAAGTGGCATGGATGACACGAAAAAGTTGAAGTAGTGGCGCTGAAGACCGCTGAATTTTTTCAGGGGCACATAGGGGATTACAATCTTTTATAATGGCACACAGGGAAAAGTCTCAAAGATGATCGGCAGTCCTCCGAGGGGTATCCCACAAAAGGTAGATTGATCGGTGGGGGTGAATGTCGAAGCCGACCAGTTTAACTGGTGACCTGGGCGGTGAAGGTCGAATCCGACCAGTTTAACTGGTGACCTGGACGGTGAAAGTCAATGACGACCAGTTTAACTGGTTAGGAGACCTCGGACTTAGCCAAGTAAGGCTTGCTAGAAGGATGTAATAGGTCAAGATAAAATTTGAAAATTCTTCCACTTAGGAGAAGCGTAGCCACTTAGACTCCGTCAATAAGGAGGATAAATCAAGAAATAAACACTACATTCACCGCTAGGTGAAGTGTAGCCACTTAGTCCCCGAGCCTGCTGGAAGATGAAGAATAAATCTTGTAGCATGGTCAAAGAAAAGAAGTCTAAAAGCTTAACGACGTCATCTGATATGCGCGTATCAAGACCCTAGACATGCTGCCGAAAATCAGCACCCTAATCCGAACAGCATGGAGCAACTTGATAGTACACCGATGAGACGTAGCAAGATCCGACCACCAAGGGAGTCCTCAGTTTAGCTGGCGATGTCCGAGCACCGAGGAGTCCCCAGCGTAGCTGGCGATGTCCGAGCACCGAGGAGTTCCCGGCGTAGCTGGCGATGTCCGAACACCGAGGAGTCCCCGGCGTAGCTGGCGATGTCCGAGCACCGAGGAGTCCCCGGCGTAGCTGGCGATGTCTGAGCACCGAGGAGTCTCTGTGTGTAGCTGGCGATGTCCGAGCACGGAGGAGTCCTCGCGCGTAGCTGGTGATGTCCGAGCACCGAGGAGTCCCCGCGCGTAGCTGACTATATTCGAGCACCGAGGAGTCCCCGGCGTAGCTGGCGATGTCCGAGCACCGAGGCATCCCCAGCGTAGCTGGCGATGTCCGAGCACCGAGGAGTACTTGGCGTAGTTGGCGATGAATAGTCCGGTCAACCGGTCGGCGGCGAAGTGAGCAGTGAGTAGAAGCGACCGACGAACAGTCCGATCAACTGGTCGGCGACGAAGTCCATGAACCTAGTGGTTCGACCAGTTGATCGGTGGAGAAGTCCGAGCACCAGGTGGTCCGATCACCTGGACGATGATCCTGCAATACAAATGTGTAGAACGGATAGTACATGATGTAAAATATATGAACTCCGGAAAAGAATTAGCAATAGTGATGAAATAGCGTATGCAGCTCGACGATCAGTTGGCGTGAAGATGTATTTATATTTAATACAAACCGCCCGGCCAGTTAGTGTGTAGCTGAGTCTACAGCCCTAGCTAGCCCGTTAACCATAACGCGGAGCGCGGAGCCCATGTGCGTGTAGGATGAACAAAGCGTCGCTAAGGAGCCGCTGCCGACCACCCATAATGCAGAGGGCAGACGCTCGTGCACGTGTAGGGAGGAGCCGAAGATAGGGGCATCTTTGGGGACATCCGAGCATCAACATGACTATAAGGGGATTTGCCTTAGACTTAGCTGTATGTCATCTTTAAGATGGTATACATGAAAGAAAATCATTTGGAGAGCAAACATGGAGAAAACAGCTCGGAGAAACATTATGACGATATACGAAAATTGGAGAATACTTAGAAGAATAATAAAGCGTGACTTAGCTTTAGACATAATGTCTGGTTGGTGGCGTATGGCGTTATCTGGTCGGCTCGTTTGACGGCTGGAATGAAGTTGATCTCGTGTTGGAGTAAGATGGACGTAGTCGGAGCTTGGCGGTGTCAATCTGTGTATGAAGACGTGCGCCGTGGTTGTCGAAGGATGTCGACGTGATCAGCCGAGTTGCCGTGAAGGATGTTGATCTTGAGTTACGCCATCTGGTTCGCCAGCGATCAGCGCGCACGAGCCCCACGGTGGGCGCCAACTGTCGACAAAAGATGCTCGGCAGTCCTCCGAGGGGTATCCCATGAAGGTAGATTGATCGGTGGGGGTGCACGTAATCAGGAACCGGATGGTGACATAAGGCGCAGAGACAGTGATTTAGACATGTTCGGGCCGTCTGATCGACGAAATACCCTATGTCATGTGTCTTTGTTGTATTGTTTTGAATATGGGATGTATGTAGATGCCTTGGGCTAAGCCTAGAATCTGTATGGGAATATCGACTAGAGGACCCCTGCCCCCCCTTATATGCTCTAGAGGGGTAGGGTTACAAGGAAAGTATCCTATTTGGTAATATACAATATCTTACGGTGCACGTCGACCAGTGCTGTGCACGCCTTGATCTTGTGAGCTGGGCCACCTCTGATGGTGCGGCCCATGTCTTATCTTATGGATACCGAGGGTCATAACTCCACATGGCCTTTCAATGAAGTCATGGTGTCCATCGAGGCGGTGACCCTCCATTTTTTTTTGTGTGGTGTCGTCGTATGGGTGTTGGGCGGGGGGTGGTGTTGAAGAGACACTGTCCCTTGTGTGGAGAAATTCAATAATGGACCCAATGTGGCAATGTCAAGGTGAGATGATCCAGTAGATGTGGTGAGACAATGTGACCCACACCTGCCTTTTATTTGTATTTCGCTCCATGATCAAACCGGGTGATAGTCGTATCAACTGTGAGGATTCGGTAACTGATGACACTATCTTTGCTTGGTGGCCTTATGTGGTGGTCCTCCAACAACATAGTATTGATCGGGTGGCATAAGTGACTGTGTGACTCTACGTCTACATTATCACTATATGTAAGTTATTGTATGAAAATAATTAAATAACACTGAGTATGTTATATGGGTTTCTAAATTACCCGGTTCTACCACTGTAAAATCCAAAGTAAATATAAATGTTATTATGTTTCAACATGTATACCAAGTACATGTATATAGTCATACACACTAGTACAGAAAAGATTTTTAGAAACGTCTCACTTTTCAATCAAAGGCGGTTAAACTAGCACGCCGCCTCTAATGTCGCCGGGGAACACTGTAGCTCCATGACCGTCATTGAAAATCCATTTTCAGGGACGGTTAATGTTATATTCAAGGGCGGTTGCTTATGTCTACCGTCTCTGAAAATGAGTGATTTTCAAAGGCGGTTCTCTTAAGATAGCCGCCTCTGAAAATCGATTTTAGAGGCAGTTGACTAAGTCAACTATCCTTAAAATAGCTGCAGCACAAATAAATTTATTTTTTTAAATGAAGTTGATGAAGACAAAATTTATATTAAAATTGTAGAGCTCGATGAGATTTAAAACTTTATAGTTGATAAAATTTTTGTTTAAGATCATTTAGAGTTCCAAATATATAAATTAAGGCTCAGATTTTCAATTTCAAAATTTTGAATTTCTCAAATGACCTTGGATGGAGAAATGTTCTATATGAAAGTTGTAGTGCTGGAAGAGATCTAAAACTTTGTAGTTGAAATTTTTTCCATTTAAGGTTGTTTAATATCCCAAATATTGATTACAAGATCCATACGTATTACTACAAATGAATAGCATTGTATATCTCAACACAAGTGACTGTGTGGTGTATTGGTAGGGGACGGACCATGTGGAGTGAGAGATCGTGAGTTCATACAAGTGGCTGGTGGCGAAAAATTAAATTCCACAAGTGGCTGGTTGGCCCCCTAGGCCTCTAGCCATACTAAATATTTTTTCTTATTTTTATTAGACTCTAAATGATTTTAGGCAGTTTTAAAATCGTCTATGAAAATCACTTATTTTTAAGATCGGTGGTATTGTAGCGGTTTTTAAACCACCTCTGAAAACCGATTTTAACCGTCTCTAAAAAAAACTTTTTTGTACTAGTGACATTAGCAATAAATATATATCTTTTTAGTTTATCGATAGTGAAAACGTTTGCTATCAAATAATATACCAATGACACTGAAAATTCATTTTAAACTACATTAAATAAATCTCAATGACAACAAATTTTATAAGTAGTTGTATATTTTTTGGCTATAATATGATGACATATCAATACTGATAGTTTAATTGTAAGCACTCTGTTTTTATACATAAAGCAATACCGCTACATATATTATACTTTCGCAGAGAAATCGAGCATCTTAAGGGGCATGGTGTAGACTGAAACGAATGTTTATATCGTTTTAGTGACTAAGAGTAGGGCTTATGACCTGGAATATACTTTATTGATAAAATGAAGATACGGAATAATGAATAAAAGTAATATAGTAAGCACTAGAGTGTGAACCTAACTAACACGTGGATACAAATAAATGTAACAACTAATACATAAATGATGTCACAAAATGCGATGGTATAGCTTAACATGTGGGGTGGCCTGCGGCAGTTTTCCGGCACCAAGGCGCCCCAGCGGCTATCGGGCTATGTGCACACATATTAAAAAAAACACACACAAGAACTTTTTTAACGCAAGTCTGTATACGTATTAAGGCATAGAGTTGTGATCAGAATACAGCTTTTAGCTTGGGCTAGTCCAAAAGTACATGGGCAACAAGCCAACAACCAGTAGAACGATGAAGCAGCCTTGCACTCTTGCTGTCCGCTGGCGTTGAGGCCAAGGCGCCTGGCGCTGCATGCCTGCGCAGCGACCAACGCAATTGACAAAAATCGAGGGTTTTCGGGAGCCAAAACACCCGAGCTGACAGATAGACAGACTCAGTTAGTTTATATTGGGGGTCCTGATTGTGTGTTTCGCTCTAGACCCAAGAAAACACAGGACCGTCCTACCTGCAGTGATCGGCGATCGCCATGAGGCTCCGCGTCGTGTTGCTCGTCCTGGCGCTCGTCCTGGCCGCCACCGCCGTTGTGCCGGTGCTGCTCCTTGGCGAGGACGACGACGCCGTCGTCGCACCGGCGCCTCCTTTCAACCCCTGTCGTGCCAAGGCCATCTCGTGGCAGCCAAGGTATATAAACAGCGACATCGAGCACGTAGTAGTAGTAGGAGGAGGAGGCGGAGGAGCGAGGAGAGGACACACATGCATGCTGATGAGGTTTTTGTTTCGTGCTCGTCGTGCTTTTCGCATCTGCATATGCAGGATCTTCGTGTACAAGGGGTTCCTCTCCGACGACGAGTGCGACCACCTCGTGACTCTGGTGAGTGACCGCGCCGCCGATCAATGGGCTTTATTTGCAGCACAAGTAACTGATAGTACTCTGTGGCTACGGCCGGCGATTGATGAATTGAACAGGCGAAGAAGGAGACCATGGTGGCGCACAACCAGTCCGGCTATAGCTCGGGGCGCACAAGCACCGGCATGTTCCTCAAGAAGCGCCAGGTACCCTCCCTCCCTCGTGCCCAGTTCATTACTTTTGGCATTTTTTTTGTCAATTTATAGAGCATGCCGCACAGTTCAGTCAAATATTCATTCAAATCTTGGTAGCGTGAACAATGAGATCCTGCCAGCGGGATCTGGATTTTTTTATTTTCTTCTTCTAGTTTAGTCCCCACCACACACACAAACAAATCACAATGTAGTTTTTTTCACGACCATGCCGAAGCACATTTTTCATTAAGGAGAAGTAGAGTTTAACGATGCAAAGGTCGGGCGGTAATTGAAGATTACCGAGCTGGACCCCAAATCTCATGCGGTTGTGATTACAAAAGAACTACATAGCGACCATAAAAAGAATCGAGCATGGTGACAAACACCAAAGCAGTCATGAACAACGGGCTAAGGAGTGTCGTGCTCGAGGCCAGAGAAAAACACCTGAATGGCTTCATGTTTGGAGGACGACAACAGTGTAGCAAAGGTGGCCTTGAATCTGTCCAAAGCCTCGGGGTCTAGACCACGCGTCATGTTTGCGACTTCTAGCTTTTATATTAGCATATTTTGTGCCGGACAGTCAGGTTGGAGGTCTTATTTTTAACAGCCAGCCTTCCTCTCCGACATAGCGACATCACCATTGAAAGCGTCCCGGACCTCCTTAGCTTTAGCTTGCTGATCAACGGGGTTTGAAGTAGGATACATAGCCGCGCCTCCAATTGCGCAGATTGGGACATATCAGCCACCGTGGATTGGCGGAGCCGGTGGGGCCACGTGCATGGGGCGGGCTGGCGGTGGGGTGGGGTGGGGTGGGCAGCCGGGAGGGGTGGCGCGTGGCTTGGGGCGGTCGCTCGCACCCGGGATTTATCCCGTTTGACCAGTCAGACAGGATCCCTCTGCCGACCCCCCCCCCTTCTGTTTTATTTCCTGGTGTTTAATTTGGCCCAACAGTTTTGTTCAGCCCATTTCGTCTCCGTACCAGCGTGCTTCGTAGCACTTTGATATTGGGCTATTTGTTTTTCATTGAATCGAATAGTGTAAGTGCTATTTTTTTTTTTCTTATCCTTTTTTCTTTTTTCTTTTCTTTCCTTGCTTCTATTATTATCCATGTGATGTTCTATGTGTTTTTTATTATATCCTTTTTGTTGCTTTGTATTATATTTTTGTTTTCTTTATCTTTTTATCTTTCTTTTATCTCTTTTCTTGTATTCTAAGTAATTTCTTTTCTTTATTTTATTTTTGTTTTCATGTTTTTTATTTTTCTTTCTTTTCTTCTCTGTTTATGTAGATTTTTTTCACTTTATTTTTATTTTCTATTTTTATTTTACTCTAAATTTTGATTTAATCATTTTCATGTTTTATGTTTTTTAAGTTTTTTATTTATTTGTGACATGAGATACATATCATGTTCATGTAGTATGCATGTGGATTTTTTAATTTTCCTTTTCTCTTTCTTATTTAAGTTTTTCCTATATATTTAGCAATTGTTATTCATGTTTTTTATTTTTATTTTCTTCTTTGTTATTCTAATTTAATTTATTAGTTTAATAATTTATTTTTTTACTTTGTTATTTTCTAAATTTCATGTGATGCATGTGATGTTTGATATTTTCTTTATATTCATGTAGTTACATGTGACGTTCTATGATGAGATGTTCATATAATATATATGTGATGTTCACTTAGTATACATGTTATGTTCTATGGTGGTTATGATGTTCATGTAGTATGCACGTGATGGTTTATGGATGTATTTTGCGATGTTCATGTAGTATACATGTAATTTCTAGGATGTATTATGTGATGTTCACGTTATACATGTGATGTTTTATAATGTATTTTTTGTATTCAATTAGTATTCATGTGATGTTCTTTAAATTTTCTACTATTACATGGTATTTTATTTTTATTCCTTTTGTTTTCCATATGCAAAGGTTCTGTCTTTTATTATTTTCTTGCTTCTATTTATGTCATGTTATTTATCTATTTCTATATATGTTATAGCTTTTGTTATTCATCTTTTCTCTATTTCATGGATATTATAATATCGTACCCTAGAATGTTTTTATTCGAAATATGAATCATTTTTTAATTAGAACATTTGTCATATGAAGGCGGAATCGTATCTTGAGATCTAGAACATCGCCTCCTCTCTATCTTCATAAGATAAATGTTCATTAATAAAATTTTATCTAAATATATTCATGTGGGATCTTGTTTTGAAGGATATATTATTGTAACAAACATAATGGTGAAATCAAAATTTAATTTCAAATCATAGTTTAGCAGCTACAACTTTTTGGGCCTGTCATTTGGTTGGTCTTTGGTCTTTGATTTAAAATTTGGTAGTCTTTGGTTTTTTATGAGAGGAAAATATCATTGACCGGGTGATTTGAAATATTTTGGAAACCAACAAGCGAACATGCCATTTAAAACTTATAGAAATGGTTGGCTGACTTTTCCAGATACCTTGCATGCATACAGCTGCTGCTCATGGAAATAAATTTTTGCTGGTCGGCACGCGCCTCCACGCCACCTTGGTCGACAAATAGTCGCCCCCACCGGGGCCGAGACGAGACCGAGTGAAACTAAGAGAGCGTTTGGGCCAATTTTTCATGGGCTCCGAAGGGTAGCCATAAGATTTTGGGCTAAATTTGTGGATAGTCCTGACTAGCCACTGGCCCGTCCCTGCCTGGCAACCCGTAAACATCCAGGCTGGCCGCCGTCAGTTGCCGGATCGGACCACTGACCGCCCCTCCCTCCCTCCCCACTGTGCAGTGCAGCAGTTACTAAGGCTGCAGGGATCGATCAGTAGTAGCCATATATCCCTGGTCCATTGACGGCAGCTGATGCTTCCTGGCACAGCACTCACTGCTCGCACCATCCGCCCGGCCGGGACCAGATCAGGATTTTGGTGGTGTTACAAATGGCTGAGAATGAATTTGTTGCTGAATTTTTCAACGGGTGACCTGCATGCTGCATGCAGCTCCATTACAGATGAGTGACAGTAACGTGTTTTCTCTTCTTGTTTTGCCAAGGACCCGGTGGTGAGTAGGATCGAAGAGAGGATTGCGGCATGGACATTTCTTCCTCAAGGTGAAATTAGTAGCATGCAAGGCATACTCAGATATATTATGAGTCTCTTCAGTTTAGGATGTTGTATATATATTTACTACATTCAGGCCGGTGAGGCCTTTTGACATACGTAATAACCAAAGGGCGTGATTTGATTTCAACAGAGAATGCTGAGAACATGCAGATACAGCGCTACCAGCACGGACAGAAGTACGAGCCTCACAGGGACCAGGGTTTAGGATACTGGTAAGATTTTTTTTTTGTCCCCAGCAATAAATACGAAATCTGGAAAATTTTGGAAATATCAGGTCAAATTTAAATAAATTCAAATTGAGTTTTTTTTAAAAAAAAATGGTATCATTTCACTAGAAAAATTCTCTAATCCATCGTCCATTACAAATTTATATAACATCGACGAAATAACATAACATATCACAGAAGTAGAGCCGCGATAATAAGCGTGTTGACGACTTGACGGTGGGCGAGTTGCATATGCTAGTGCCATTGAATGTGTGAGTGAGAAATTAAATAACTTTGAAGAAATTTTGGGCTTTAATAAGACTACAAGATATAGAGGGTCATTTTAGTGTGGTTTGGTGTAATTTTGGAGTGAAAAATAATTTAACCAAATTTTTTGACAGATATAAATAATTTTCGGACCTCAGCGAAAAAGGTGATATTTTGAAAATTTCGGCAATATTTTGCCGAAATCATAAATCCTGACTTGGACTACTTCCACGACAGGGTGAACCAGCAGCTCCGGCCGGGAGGCTACCGGTACGCCACCGTGCTCATGTACCTGTCCACTGTCGACAAGGGAGGCGAGACCGTGTTCCCCAAGGCCAAGGTACCCACAGGCTCCATTTCCATGTTCTTGCGGTGTCTGTCCACTCGGAGTGCTCTATTTATCAACTGAATGTGGTATACTGACACTGCCAGCACGCAGGGATGGGAGTCCCAGCCCAAGGATGACACTTTCTCTGAGTGTGCACACAAAGGATTGGCAGGTAATCTCACTCACACCTACTGTAAAAATCTGGCACACACACACCATGTCTGTCTTCAAGAACAGAAGCATCAGGCTCCAAACCTCTGAGAACCTGATCGAAGTCTGAACATGGCGAGGCTGATAGATTTGCTTGTTCCATTGCATGCAGTGAAACCGGTGAAAGGCGACGCCGTGCTCTTCTTCAGCCTCCATGTCGACCGGGAGCTAGACCCGCTCAGCCTCCACAGGAGCTGCCCGGTGATCCAAGGCGAGAAATGGTCTGCGCCCATGTGGATCCACGTCAGGTCCTACGAGAATCCCCCGGTTGTAGACTTGTAGTCCCAAAGGATGCGCCGACAAGAGCAAGCATTGCGCGGAGTGGGCTGCGGCGGGAGAGTGCGGGAAGAACCCAGCGTACTAGGCGTCGAGGGGTCGCTTGGGCAGTGCCGGAAGAGCTGCAGAGTCCCGTGGAAATTCGAAACTAAAAAAGTGAGGCCTACTAGCCTAGATAAAAGAGGACTAAAATAAGATGTATGATATAATGTATTACATTGCAATAAGATATGTCAAGAATGGTACTTATGTTACATAATCTTTACTTGAATAGCATACTTTTAGTGTTTTTGAAATGAAATCTTCAATGATATGCTCACCAGCATCCGGAGAAGGATTCAAGTCATCGCTATTATTGTCCATATGAGTATTTGTGTTGTCACAGGATCATTGTTAATATTACTGTCAATTGCTTGCCCCTTGTAAGGTGTCGGATTATCAGATGACACTTGTGATTGTTTTGTAACAAACCTATCCATAGCTCCTTTCTGAGATTTGATTAAATCCTCTATTCTTTGTTTTTTCTTATGCCTTTGACAACCTGATTCAAAAATTTTAGACCGATTTGCAGAAGACATGGCTTCAATCTTTGAACACTATTCCAGTAGACGTCTAGATGAAAAGATCAAAAGAAAAAAATTTAGAGATCGACCCGCTACTCGCTATAGTTCGTTGTGACGACTGTGAATGAATTGAAAAAAAAAACAGAAATATGCATGACTAATTACCTTCAGGGCCGTCTCGCCTGGGTGCCTCGCCGTTGCCGTCAGTCCATCACGCTTGCGATACGCGGCGTCGAGGCCGATAGGAGACGTCGAGACAATCAGGTTTGGGAATTGGGATCCCAGCAGTCGGGAGACAAACGACGTCCGTGCGGCTGGTCGGAAAATTATTTTCTATCAGGCTAGTAGGCTTGCTTATGGGCGATGCTATCGGACCAACAAAACAATCAAACAAATACCTGCTGTGCTTAGCTATATGGGTAATGGTACTATTATACTTGGAGGCCCTGCGCCGTCGCCCAGGCTGCACGCCCCCGGGGACGGCCCTGGGCTCTTTTGGATTTTCTTTCAAAATGCAGTTTACAGATAACTAGTGAAAGTTTTCTTCTATACTTGATGTGTACATAACGAGTGAAAGTTTTTTTCAGACAGCTAACAGTAGTGAAGATAGATGCCTCCTTTTCTTATATAGTATGTTTTGGTGAAACCTTCAAATTTACTGCAAGGGAAGATGAAGTAAGTCTTGGTGTTTACTGGTTCTTCCGAAGGAATGGAATGGAATCTGGCCTACCGCTGGCATAATATGATGACATATCAATACTGATAGTTTAATTGTAAGCACTCTTTTTTATACATAAAGCAATACCGCTACATATATAACACTTGTGCGGAGAAGTCGAACATCATAAGTGGCGTGGTGTAGACTGAAACGAATGTTTATATCATTTTAGTGACTAAGAGTAGGGCTTGTGACCTGGAATATACTTTACCCTCTCCGTATATAAGGCGTAACCACCTCTGTTTTAAAGACCAAGGAACACATTTAATTCTCTCTCTCAATACTAGCATTACTGCATGGATGTACCTGTGTCTAGAGAGAGCATGCCTTAATTATATTATTATGAGACATGAAAAAAAGTGATTATGCCTTATATATTAGGACGGAGCCACGGAGGGAGTATTAATAAAACGAAGATATTGAATAAAAGTAAAATAGTAAGCACTAGAGTGTGAACCTAGCTAACACGTGGATACAAATAAATGTAACAACTAATACATAAATGATGTCACAAAATGCGATCGTATAGCTTGGCCTGCGGCAGTTTTCCGGCGCCAAGGCGCCCCCGCGGCTATGTGCACACATATTAAAAACAACACAAAAACTTTTTTAACGCAAGTCTGTACACGTATTAAGGCATAGAGTTATAATCAGAATACAGCTTTTAGCTTGGCCTAGTCCAAAAATATGAAGCAGCCTTTTGCACTCTAGCTGTCCGCTGGCGTTGAGGCCAAGGCGCCTGGCGCTGCATGCCTGCGTAGCGTCCAACGCAATTGACAACAATCGAGGGTTCTTGGGAGCCAAAACACCCAAGCGACAGATAGACAGACTCAATTATATTGAGTACTGTTATTATCTATAGAGATTTATTTGGGATTTGATTGTGTGTTTCGCTCTAGGCCCAAGAAAACACAGGACCGTCCTACCTGCAGTGATCGGCGATCGCCATGAGGCTCCGCGTCGTGCTGCTCGTCCTAGCGCTCCTCCTGGCCCCCACCGCCGTCGTGTCGTGCTGCTGCTTGGCGAGGACGACGACGCCGTCATCGCACCGGCGCCTCCTTTCAACTCCTCTCGTGTCAAGGCCCTCTCGTGGCAGCCAAGGTATATAAACAGCGACATCGAGCACGTAGTAGGAGGAGCGAGGACACACATGCATGCTGACTAGGGATGAAAACGGTCGGAAACGGTCGAAAAACCTCTCAACCGTTTTCTACTTCTACATTTTGAATACGAAAACGAAAACGAAAGCGGTAAAGCCGGACACGAAAACGAACACGAACTTACGGAATATCAAAAATTTCGAAAACGAACTAATTCGAGCGGAATTATGTCGAACACGGTCGGTATATGAAAAATCAATACGGAATATTGACCCGTAGGACCAAGTGCATAATAATTAACAAGTACATAATAATTAACAAGTCTTACAACTTTCTTAAAAAGTATCTCCATTCAACACGACGTAAGGAAGATATGATTTTTTTAAGGCAACAAGCGCTTGTACGCGATTAATATATCGCTGACTTTGTTTAATTTTTTTGAACATTTTCAAGACATCAAATGAAAAAACTAAGAACTAGAAAGTGTAGATCTCGTTGAGAGCTACAATTTTCATATAAAAATCATCTTCATCCGAGATCGTAGGAAAAAGATATAATTTTTCTAAGGTTGGACCTGTAGTGGGCCAAATTTGGTTTAAACCGAATTTTGAAACCGAATTTCGAATTCGGGATATTCCGAATTAAAAGTAGAAAAGTAGAAATCGGTCGAACAAAGCCTAAACCGAATTCGATCCGATTTCGAATTTGGTGTTCCGAATTTCGAATTCGAATTTAGTATTCCGTATTTTGTCCGAAAATACGAATTCGCTCGGGTCAAATATAGAAAACGATACGGTTCGGTTCGGGATATTTCCTTTCCGTTTTCATCCTTAATGCTGACGAGGTTTTTGTTTCGTGGTTTTCGTTCCGGCGCATCGATCTGCGTATGCAGGATCTTCGTGTACAAGGGGTTCCTCTCCGACGACGAGTGCGACCACCTCGTGACTCTGGTGAGCGACGGCGCCGCCGCCGGTGATCGATCGATGGGCTTTATTTGCAGCACAAGTAACTGATGTTACTACCTGTGGCTACGGCCGGCGATTGATGAATTGAACAGGCGAAGAAGGGGATCATGGTGGCGCACAACCAGTCCGGCTACTACCGCCAGACGCGCACCAGCTCCGGCATGTTCCTCAAGAAGCGCCACGTACCCTCGTCCCTCCCTCCCTCGTGGCCAGTTCATTACTTTTGGCAGTTTTTTTTGTCAATTTATAGAGCTTGCCGGACGGTTCAGTCAAATATTCATTCAAATCTTGGTAGCATGCACGATGAGATCCTGCCAGCGGGATCTGTTTTTTTTCTCCATCTTTTCTTCTTCTAGTTTAGTCCACACCACACACTAAAACAAATCACAATGTAGTTTTTTTTTTCACGTGCCGAAGCACGTTTTTCATTTAGCATAAGTAGAGTTTAATGATATAAAGGTTGGGCGGTAATTGAACATTACGGAGCCAGACCCTAAATCTCACGTGGTTCTGATTACAAAAGAACTATATAGTGACCATAAAGATAATCAAGTATGGCGGCAAAAACCAAAGCAGTCCTGAACAAGGGGCTAAGGAGTGTCATGCTCGAGGCCATCGAAGTTCAGCTCTATGGCCACCAGATCGAAATTAGTAGAGAAAAGCACATAAAGGGCTTCATGTTTGGAGCCTGACAATGGCGCAGCAAAGGTGGCCTTGAATCTATCCAAAGCCCTAGGGTCCGGACTATGCGTCATGTTTACGACTCCTAGCTTTTTGCATCAGCACATTTTGTGCCTCGACAATCGGGTTGGAGGCCTTGTTTTTAACAGCCAGCCTCCCTCTTCGGCGTAGCAACATCACCGTTGAAGGTGTCCTGGACCTCCTCCGCTTCGGTTTGCTGATCAATGGGGTCTGATTGTCTAAAGAGGGATACATAGCCGCGCCTCCAATTGTGCAGACAGGGACACATCGGCCAATGGAGGTTGACTGTTGTCACATTTATCGCCAGCAGATGAACCGTGGCTGGGCCTCAACAACTCAAGCTCCATAACATCTCAATGTAGTGGGACGGGTGTCACGGCTCCTCACCTAAGCCAGCCCAAGGAAGCCCAGCAACTAAGGAGAAGCAGGCGGGCCGTCGCAAGAGTTCTAAGGTCCACGACCCATAATGGGCTTGCGTCTAGTGCGTCCCAGCGGAGAAGGAGTAGATAAGAGAGGCAGAGAGCTAGAGAGGGGAATCGTTCAATTACTTGTAACAGAATTCATAGCTACTCTATAATCTGGGACCTCGTTGGCTCGTGGTCGCTGTTCATCTTCTTGGCGTCCGATCTCGATCCGATCGGGTCGCTAACATACCTGGTATCAGAATTGTGGGGGTATTAACCCCTATACCCCTATGGCTAGGTCTGGGCTGGTCCGGACCAGGGGGTCCGTCCCACCAGAAGACGACACGTGGCCCAACCGATCTGCTCAGAGTCCCGCGCAAGGAATCAAGGCAGACTTAGAGATCAAGCAAGATCCTGGTCGGTTAGAATAGGAATCCTTATCCGGCCATCTATGGCAATTGTAACCGGTTGGGATTAGTTTCTAGATCTGTAACCCTGCTCTCTAGACTATATAAGGCGGGCAGGGGACCCCTCTCAAATAATCACAATCTCAT